GATTAAGCAGGTAATGCAATGGGGTATATGCCTCATTCATTTCATCTTCTTGGACCTGATTCTGAACTGCGTACTCATCTGAAGCATCCTCTAGCTTTAGCCAAACTATTGGATCCGTTTCATCTAGTTCCATACCACAGTGATCATCAACATGACTGAATCGAAAATATTGTACACAAGGCAGCATGGGAAGCATGCGCTCAAAGCTTCCTCCACACGGTCAACACAACACGCATTCCCAATCTAAACTTGTCCAATGTCTAAATAGCTCCAACCACCCTTATGAACTTTGGTTGGAATAGACCCGCACCCAATTGAAACTAAGCAATCAATTTTAGTTTCAGGCCACAATAGTTGTGCTTCTCGTACAGTAAAATTAGTAGGATTATTTGCTACAATAGCCCCATCTTGCCAACGATATACACCACCAGTGTAATCATCTAGATAATATGACGATATAGATGATGTTCTTATAACTTGCCATATGTGATCCTTACAACTCTCAATGGAAGCACCAATGGGCTTTTTGGTACCACTTTTTGTCTGAAGATCGGCAAGGAACTTTTCTATGCAATAAACAAATTCCGTTCCATTGAAAGTACCCCCACCAATTTCGACACATGTTGACTGTCCAAGGCTGACTGCAGTAGTTTGAAAAATCGCTTCATAAGTTAGTGTGCCAGATCGTGAGATAATTCCAATATGTCTTGATTTGTGAATGTATTAAGAGATAATTCCAATCTTACACTCCCGAGGCTTGATAATTCCGGGACAATTTGGACCTATGAGCTGAGTTTTCGACTGCTTGTTGATAGCAGCCTTGACAAGAACCACGTCATGTTGAGAGATTCCCTCAGTGATGCAAATAGCCAAATCTAGCTCAGCCTTCCTTGCCTCTATAATAGTTTTAGCTGTAAAAGGGGGAAGGAGCACAAATTACTGTTGCATTAGCCTTTGTTTCAGCTTTTGCCTTTAGAACTTCATCTCCATCTCCATTATACTCTAGAAAAAACCACATTCCCATTGCTTCCTTCTCAACCTTCGGTGTAATTATAACTTTAGTCTCATTTTCATAAAAAATACCACTACTAAGAGTCAGATATCTAGTTTTCTCAGTTTCCATTTCCATGTCTTCTTCCTCAACACTTTTTTCTGCAAATCGTCTACAAACCTCACTTGAAAACATGTCTTAATCAACATTGGGATGGTTGAAGATGAAGCCATAAAACCATATGTACGCTTTCCCCTTCAAATACATCTTAGCTATTTCCACCCTCATTTCAGTAGCTACTTGATGTATCTGGAAATATTTTTGGGCTTCCCTCAACCATTCTCTAGGACCTTCTCCATTAAAATAAGGGAAGTCTATCTTATGTAGTTTGGTAATTATCATAGCCTCTTTGTTTCCTGTGGAGATACCAGAATGAATTTCTTTTTTTTTTTTTCTAAAAATACTCCCACTGGTTTGAGATGGTGACCTATATCGTTCTACTTGTTTTTCTTTACCATCAGCCTTACTCCCAGTTAACTGAGCTAGTATCAACACCATTGAATGATATGAATGTAAAATATATAGTTTTTCCTCTTTGTTTAATAAGCTCGTACGATAATTTTTTGACAAAATATACTTATTAATCTCATATTTTGGTTTAGGTGGCAATTTGATGGATATAGCGTAATTTGGAAGAAATAGGTGCTAATGGACCAAAGTGAAAAAAAATGAAAGTTCAAGGACTAGCGT